ATTTAGGAACTTCAGACGATTCAATCAACTGATACTGGTAGATATTTCAAGATTACTGATGTTGATGAAAATAACTTCTCAAGGTGGGAGGGCCTCATACTTCCTGTAAGTATTGAAACATAAAGTATCTCGTCTAAATTGCCGTATTAAGGTTGCTTATGCTTATTATTCGTTGTATAGTATGTTTGCAATAATTTAATCTCTCCCAAATACTTTAATTAGTCTATTATTTGTACCATTTAGCATATTTTGTTGATGTCTTTTACATTTAAGGGCAACCCTCCGTACAACAAGGGAGCCTTCCGAATAGTAATTGACTTTCCAGTGGAGTATCCGTTCAAGCCTCCAAAAATCGCATTCAGAACACCAATTTATCACCCTAATGTTGATGAAAAGGGACATTTCTGCTTACCTATCATAAACACAGAAAATTGGAAGCCTGCTACCAAGACAGATCAAAGTCAGCTTATTTTCTTTTAAGTTCCACATACCTATTTTGTTAATCCTTAGCTAATATTCGAGATTGCATACTTTTCTGCGTGTTTTTCTTTTTTTTACAGTTATTCAATCTTTAGTAGCTCTAATAAATGATCCTGAAGTTGACCATCCTTTGTCAGCAAATATTGCTGATGAATACACAAAGGATCGAAAAAAGTTCCTGAAAAACGCGGAAGAGCATACCCGAAAATATGCTGAAAAGAGACCTGAATAATTGATAACTAATCTTTCTGAACCATAATCATATGGACACAGTCGTTGCTGGTTTAAAATTTTTTTACCAATCCGAGGATATATTCATTGCAGGGCTATTGGCTCTATTTTTCTTAAAGTGCAGATTTCCCTTATCTAAACCTTTTAACCACCAATCACTACTTCCAATTTTCCTCAAATAATATCTCTTAAAACTCTTAGGACAAAATGCTATTCGGTAACGAGCTACTTATACTTTCGTTTGCCATTTCGCATTCATGTCTTTTTTGTGTACTATTGCCTCAGACGAAATAATAATTGGCCTAAAAGTTATCATCTACAAAGTTCCTCGCTTTTCCCCATTTGTCCATACGTGAGTTGCTAATTTCACAGAAATGATGATGAAAGATGCCGAAGTAATTATCATGTGCCTTTTTCCTTTTAATTTGAGTTAACATGTATTTAGTCGTCTTAATGTAAGGCAAAGAATAAATTAAGAGACTGAACAGTACAGTCGTCCGCGGCAGCTTAAATCATGAATCGATCTCTTAGCAACCACAGTTGTTGCAACTTTAGATAGCTTTGCCGACTGACAAAGCGTTTTAAAATCTGATTGCACGATGAACACTTGCTATTTTGATTCAAGAAGCCTTACTACACTAATATGCACAAGAATTATCCAATTTTAGTCGCCCTATCTCTAGCATTGAAACAAATAAATCGCTTCATGTCACTTATTATTCAATTTGTAGCTAACGCAGTTGCGAAATCCTCAGGATGATCTAGATCCAGTTCACTTGTCATCAACTTTTCCGGAAATTTTTACTAATATTCAATAGTTATAAAGCGCCTTTCCCCACATGTCTTTAGAACTTTCCGGCATCAGGAATCGTGAAAGTGAAAACAGCAACCTCTCGCGATAGGCAATTTACAGGCATCTCGCATGACTTACGCCTACTATACTGAACATCCCTGCAAGGCGTCTGTGACATGACTTACCGTGGAGAATGATGCGCTCATACAAGAATACTAAACGAGGTTAACATTCCCTATCGGGTTTGCCATTAGATAGTTCACAGCATACTAAAATAGCGCAGAGGCAATGATCTATCTCTCGTCCTGACGATGGTCATGTTGAGGTAACTATCTGGGAAGTTTTACGTTTTTAATAACCTGGGCAAATCTAATCCTCTACAAAAGCATGTCATTAGAGCCAATACAGGTTGAATTATTTAATCCATTTAGGCGTTAGTGACTGCATATTAGACAGACGAAATAAAAAAAGCAAAGGTGGTATTTCATTAAGTTGGAAAATCCAGGTTGCATGCAGTAGATTTGCACTCAGGCCTCGCTTTTTGTTTCTCATGCCTTTATGATACATCAAATGAATAGCAAAAGTCTAGCAACGATTCACTGAGGATATATTTGAATTGCCACAAAAAAGGCAATTGCAACGCTGTTTCCGACGTCGGTAACAAAGTGCCTCCGATTATATTGAATTCAGAAATTTTCTATAGCCAATCAATTTAGTCGCAATCTTCTTCCAGAATGCACGAGTGACCTTGCCTGCTATTTACACCTAGAACTTGAACTTTTTACAGAAACAGACGTCTTATCAGAATCATCGCAGCAGTCAACCAGAAGCAGGTGAAGTTTCCTCTGGCCAATTTTCTGTTGGGGAATCTTGACATCCCCACTATATTAACGCTTATTTTGACCTATTTCCAAGTTGTGGAGCTAGTGAGACCTCGGCATAATTAACCAAGACTTCCTCATCCGTTTGCATTACTCATGATTGGATAATATCAGCGAACTACCTGCCATCAAACACTCAATTTTTATCGCAAGCATTCAATGATCTACATCGGCTACTTCAACCGTACCCATGCTGTTCTATGCATTATTTGTCTCGTTCCTTTAATGACGTGCACGGAAGCCTCAATAGACAGGTACCGGAGGCCTAGATTCTCAAGCCGGATGTTAAACTATTTTAATACTGGCTCGGCATATGCAATGAATGAGTAAATATAGAATCAACTCCATGATCAATCCCCCATACTGCGAGATTTTAACCAATATCTCCAGTGTACCAAGTATAGCTCGAATTGAGTTATGGCTATGATTGTTATGACAATCCTATTGCGCAATCCCTTGTCTGCCAGTACTCAAGATGTAAATGCTTATTTCGTCTTCATCGACCCACTGCAATTGCCCACTCCTGAATTCTCATAGCTTCCCAAGGGCTACATCTTTGGACCAGTTGTCTTATTTTTTATAAGTTTGCTGAATACAGATCTCCTCGTAGTTTGTCTAAAAAGGCAAATATTATTAGCTAATTTCGCCATCATTAAGTCTTCTGTTCTTTGGATCCTCTCTGTAAGTATATTGGCATCAATAAAATTGTGCGTTCCCTATAAGTTCCGTAATATGCAGCTCATCATGATATACTCCAGATCTTGTGTTCCATACGTACATTTTGCTGTTATTCCTAATTTTTTCATATCCATATTTCCTTAGTCCTCGGCGCTTTTTGATACATGAGTGATTTATCTTCCTTTTCACTAGTACGATTGGCTGCAGTGTATAATGGGCATTCTATTAATTTAGCTTATCCACCTTATATTGCCTCGATAAGTGTAGTCATTTCATTAATCTTGGATGATAACTTCGTAACATAGGTGGCGGATTTAGCTTAATTTACAAGTGAAACATGCCTAGTTTGGGAGGTCCCTCTTACTCATTTTCTTTTAATAATTCCCATGTTGCCATTTGCTATTTACAAAAAGATATAGGCCGTAAATTTCAAATTGAAAGATATTTTAAAAATCACGAATGTGAAAGGCACACAAGTGAACATACTCGTCCTGTGAACTAAATCTAAAATTCCGGCCTATATTAAGAAAATATATCTTGGTAAACACGCGGTAGCATACAAAACCCTTCATAAGATAATCAAAGAAATAGGAAAGGGCAGACAAACTGCATGGCTAGGGAATCTATTGCATGACATGCAGTAGAACCAATTCAAAGAATCAAGAATAAAAATGGATCCAAAAACCAAAGGACATCAAGGATACTACGCAAGCATGAATATAGAGAAATTATGAACAACAGAAAACATTGCACGGGCGAATCAAGATGCCATCTAAGGTAAAAGAAGGATTAGCGGCTTAACGAAAACTAAAGCATAGACGAGATGAGATAGGTAGTAAAACTTGAAGGTAAACTCATGGGATCATATGGGCTATATACGGTACAGCGACCAAATTATTTCTAAGTCCATCAGGAGTCAAGATTTGAATAGCATGACAACAAGGCTTCATTAGTAAAGCATAAGTAATCTTAAGACTACTTATCCAATCACTTTAAAAAGTTAATCAACTAATAGACAATATGGAGAGACGTAGTTACGACTATGCATCATAAAGGAAAATTAAGTTAAGCGTAGTATGGACAATTATTGAAAAATTAAATCCATGTTTGAAGAACGATAGGAATAAAACTGCAGGTAAGCTTATTAATCAAGGCGATTGAACCAATAGATGTAGAACAAATCGATTTGGGTAGAAAATTTTAGAATTACATTCAGGGTATAATAATTTGATTTGTATCTATAAGGGAGGCATTGATGCAATAGCAACAAAGCTACTTAACATGAATCTATTTGTTCAGAGTGTGGATTGCCTTTAATATTTCATCGGCTGATTTATTTGAAACATTTACTGAATCCTCATATCCATAGTCTAAAGCAGCATATAAAAATAAATGGACAAACCATATCTGGCAAAGATTTCAGGCCGGACCTCCTCACCCTCCCTAACCATAAAGTTTACATTGGGATTAGAATGTTTGAGATCAAGGTAGTACTTCGATAAGAAATTTCTAAAAATTGCAATAAACAAAGTGATTTGGAAATGAGGGCTGCAGAAGTTTATTAGTACAGAGTATAAACCATTATGAAGACATCAAATGGCATACAAATAGCCTTTTATCGATTTAAGATGGTTGAAATCTTTACAGTTTGCTTAAATTATACAAGAAATTTTAGCATACATATAAGAGATACTAAGTTACGCAAGAAAGAAAATTATCAACCTTATTCCAGAACTATTAAGGCCAATGTGGGGGAAAATAAATCTTATTTCCTTGACCTTAGACCCAAATTTCAGTGAAGAAGCCATTAATTGGTTGAGGTTAAGCGCGAAAAAGCCTCTGGGCGCAAATATTAAAAGCCATACGAAATCAAAATATGATTAGAATAAACTTATGCAAACGCTCTCTATATGTATTAAAATACAATAAGTTTTAGCTTCCAACCATTTTTGGGCAATAACATTATTTACATTGATGAATACGGAAGCGTGCACCAACAATCTCAGTAAAAAAAATTAAACTACAGGTTAAGTGTAAAATCAGATTATCGTGAGTGAATTTATAATAGTAATAAATAATTTAAATTATAAGAATTTTGTTTAGAGCTCAAGAAGGCATATTATTTTTAAATAGAAATGTGAAGACTATTCGCATGTTTATGTATTCTGCCAAATTTTGGTCTTTTTTAACGACTATATAAGGTAATATAAATACAAGCATTGCAATACATATATGTAGTATTAACAATTAAAAAATTAGTATAATCATTTTATTAAAGAGTTGGCCTGCCCTTGTTTCTGACAGTTGGCCAAGGTTTTAAGGTGATCGAAATATAACTTCGCCTATTGCTTAAACAAACTTAGATAAAACAAGGATAAGGCATGAGTAGCAAAAAGGAGATACTTGTATCAAGGAGCTTTTGTTAACCAAAGGAAAAAAGTTTACAATGAAGCAGTGGGCGAGGAAGATACTATGATCAAGCAAAGACAATATCACTGAGAGTCATCTACTCGATGAAATAACTACAACTTTGGTGTCTGGCGGTCACAGATCTAGAGAGACGGATTGCCACAGCCATAGCAGAAATTCTTTATTATGATCAAAATGACTTGAATTATACTCGATATGTTGTAGGCGATCAGAGACATACGTCCACAATTTGCTCTTTATACATGGGTTTAATCAAAGGGATTACACATGAGACATGTCTGATATCTGCAATCATGGAAACCGTTTTTTTCTAGCTCGGCTAATTTATGATGCCGAAATTGCATTTCTTTCATTTACCAATAAATAATCATTCTGTGTTATAGTAAGTTATTAAAATAGCAATAAGATAACATTAGGTAAGGTAACAAAATTTAAATGAATCTTTTCTTTAATTTCCTTAATAAATCATGTCATTAGAGTCGATTTGAGTATCAATATGGATTGGTCACATAAAATAAGTTTGTTTATATAATAGAAGGTATGAAGACCAAATGGTGTGGCTTTTTGTGTGGTCGCAATATCCTTTCATATTAAATAGGTTGTTTGGCCCTGTTTTCGCAACATGGTCATATTGATAGGAAGACTTAGAGGAACGCACCTAGTTCAGGGTCCATTGTCTGCATGATCATTTCCAAAGTTGAGCCGTGGACGTGGTACATTCCCAAACGTTTTGTCAGCATCGTAATTGGCATTAAGTAGTTATCCAGTGTTTTATCATAGACGTGATCCTTGAATCACGACTATTGTTAGCTAATTAGCTCTAAATTCCATTTCTTCTATCCTCTTTCTATCTATAATATCAGGTCTATGACCTCCTATGTCCTTGTCTCTTGTGTGCCAACCCACAAACGTTGTGGTTCAACATTGAACCTAACCAAAGCAAGCAGTACTACAACATTTGTGGGTTGGCACACGAGAGACTACGACATTTCAAATCATAGACTTGGTATAAGGGATAGAAAAAGAATAGACACGGCGGAGACCGGAGCTAGTTGGCTGACAGTAGGTCAGTTGAACCAGAGACGTGGTCTATGTAGCAAAGGGGTGATGATGAGACTCAAAAGCTTGAGCCTTGAATTAGTCACCCAAACGCAGGTGAGGGCGAATATCGCTTCAAGTAGGACAGATGTGGTGACAGTAGTCGATTAAAATAGGTGAACAAGGGGTAGAGCAAACGAATTTTACGGATCAAAAGAGAGACTGAGATAAGACTTGGCAAGAGGACTGCATAATGATAATAAAGCCGACTCTGATCAACATTCCCTGCACAAGGATAAGGGGGGGGGGTGAGAACAACAGTTGGAGTGTGAAGGTGTCATATCGCTCAAAGGAGCACACCACACTATATTGAAATAAACACGGTAAAAATTGTAATAGTGAAGGCATGATAGGATGATAGAGGAAACC